CTTAAAATCTGCTTAAAACTGTAGCGAAAACACAACTTCACCAAAAAATCACCGACAAAAAACCATGCGGCGGGTAGTTTTTGTTCGTTCTTGGTTAGTATTATTATACACCCCAATATAGAATTTATAGGGACCCTACAAAAGCACACAGGTTTTGGTAGTTCAAGGTTGATGCAGTCATGAGCATTTTTTTGTGGGTCGAGCTGGGCAGCGAGGGGCCGCAGTCGAGTCCCTTGTGAAAAAGGTCACCGTAGATAGACGGTGACTGCACTGACGGATTACAGGCCCCCAGCAACTGCATAATGCATCTTTCTTTCAAGTGTCTTCTACAAGTCGCAGTCTATACTCAGATCGTGCCTTGCAAGGACATGGTCCCTACTGCCGTCGGGTTCAAGGCCGTGAAGAAGGATGCTTCCGCCCTGCAGTGCTTAAGCCAATATCCATGCCTTTCACTTCATTGCAGCTTCAGCGAAGGATGAAGAATGGCAACGTGTAACGCAAGCGATTTGCGACCAAGCTTGAACAGAGTGTTTAGTGTGGTCTGCAATTCAGATTCATGATGGTCCGAACCAGGAAATCTTGCAGCACATCTATCTTCGTGCCAACCGAATCGCACTACATCGCAACAAAGCCATATATCTACATGATAGTGCTCTATAATGGTACCCGTGTAGTGCCCTAAGTGTACCCTTTTAGTACCCTTGATATGCCCTGCCCATGGCCAAGCAAGGCCGTGGCGATCGAGCCACGCTAATCACGTGGACTCACGACGGCAAGGACTTGTGACTGACTTGGGGCACCCATCTTGTGTAGGGGTTTAGGGTTGGTTGGGGGACATTGTAGGGCAGCGACACGGACTGTCATCCACTGATACCCGCTGCGAGGAGGACGAATCACAGAAGGCGGAGCTTTGTCCGACAGGCACTGTTCCAGTGCAAGGAAGGCCCGACCCCAGCCGGTTGCCCTTACTTGCTTGAGCTCTATATTTCGCGGCAGGGGCTACATGTCCTTCGCGTGCGATGGCCATGTCATCAAAGAGAGGCGCTACCATTGCTGCAACGTGAACGGCCAACTGTCTCTCGACTCAAGCTCCCCCTAGAATAGAAACCCCTAAACCCTAATGGTACTCGAATCCTCGCCTGGCTTGTCCTAGTTGTGAGTGCTGAAACCCTAAACCCTTCAATGCACCTCCGTTGCCCCTGTGGGTGCTTTGTGAATCCAGGCATTGCTCTCCGAGTCTGGTGGATGCCACATCCATGGACCCACCATGCTGCTTATCAGCTCTTACTTGTTTTGCTAGGTCTTCCTTTGGAGGCAGGTGAAGCACCTCCAGCACAGGCTCTTGGAGCTTCAGACTTTAACTTTGTGTAACCCTGAGAGCGGAATTTTGACGATTGCTGAGGCGACTGCCACCAGAATGATGTGGCTGCAGTCAAGGCATGTCGATCTTTTTGATGCCAGCATTCTTGTGCTACGGGTTTCATAGATGAAGAAGCTCATGCATAGCTTGGTCTCGAGGAGAGCAATCTCGCCTTTCTTCTGCCTCTACTTGGCCATCGGAGAAAACGGCGAGCGAAAGCTCAAGAATTTCTGTGAGCTGAGCCTACCCAGCTTCTCCGCAGCGCCATCTATGTCATGGGGCGATACGGAACTCCAAAGAAGAGTGCCGTGGAGACATCCAACATGGCAGCACGTCGTCGTAGCGCGCGGTTCACTAGGACCTGGTGTGCATCCAATGAAAGGAAGGCTGCCAGGCCATGCGGACGCGAATGAAAAAAGGGCGGGCTCGCTTCATTTGGGGGTACTACAAGGATGCCATTAAGCGATACTACGGAACCCTCTCTCGGATTCCACTTTGAGATCTGAGAGCTTCGTGCGCAGTAGTGCTTCGATTGCCGTCCGAGGTGGCTGTCGCCTTGACAAAAACCTCCCTTTCGACAGACGGCAAGGTGCTGGGCTTTCGCTGAGCAGAAGTTCGTGTAGTCAGGAATGCATGGGTTGCCCACAGCCAGGTACTTGACCTTGCCAGCGCCAAGCAGCAGATCGAGTCAGCGGCGACGGGGTGCTAACCTCACGGTCCTGCGGGGGCGCTTTAGCAACTCGCTTCCGCTTCTGCGTCATTGCATAGGCTCGATATTCAGTGGATCGAAGCTGACGCTGACGGACGCGGGGTTATCTCAAATTTTGCCGGGATCCTACTCCAATGAGTAGTTGGGCGCAAGTGCATCTACAGAGTTCGAGCTTGGCCTTCCACGCTCAGGAGCTGCCCCTTGTGGAATTTGCGGAATCCGCACGTGCCTGGCCTCAGCGAGAAGATTCCTTGCCGTGCACTTGCATACAAGCCTCAAGCCGACTCCGTAAACCCTAAGACCCCTAATAATAATAATACTAATACTAATACTAATACTAATACTAGTACTAATACTAATACTAATACTAATACTAATAATAATAGTAATGAAAAATAATAATAACAATAATGACCATTTTAAAGTACAGCACTAACCAACGACAAATGCTGCCTTGATGAACTTGTGTTGTAAGGAGAGCTCTTCGTTCATGGTGGCGAGCTTTAACACTCGGAACGTCGGCTTGTCTCGTCGGCACAGAGAGCCCCGACGATGCAGCAAACTCATGTCAAGGTGGCACAAGCCCACCTTTGCGATCAAAAGGACATGCAATCGTTGCAAGTTGAACCGGGAAAGGCCCGTTTCATGCTTTCAGGTATCCTTCGCCTATTTTAGGTGCTGTAGCTGATGCTGTGCAGTTGACACTGCAGGCCCTTGTGTGGGTTCATGAGGGCATAAACAAGGTCATGCCGCGAAGAAAACCCATCAGCAGCAGAAGCTACGGAAAGAAGCCGCCGCAGCCCAAAACGCATTCGACACGGTGCAAGACCAGATTGTCGAAACTGTGCAGGGGGAGCATCGTTAGCAAAGCTTTGCGCACGCGATCCCATGCAGTTCTTGACAGCGTTTGCTTTGCTTGAATGATAGAGAGGCACAGGCAGAATGCCCTGGCGGGACCGATTCGCTTTATGTATGAAACCGTTTTTTATGAGCGATTTAAATATTATATACATATTTGTATTTACATATTCTGTATTTTTATTATGCACTATATAGTATGCATTTTAGGTATAGTATGTGCTGTGTTATTTGTGTATACATACATACTAATGGGTATATAAATGTATATACACATATGCATATGTATATATATATATACACACACACACACGCACATTCGGTGGCGATGGCGATGGCAAGCATCTCAGACCATTCGACAGCTGCCGAAAGATGCCTAAAGCGGCATCGCGAGCCAGATGCTGCTGGGTTCAAGATTTAGAGTTGTGTCCTACCACGTTATATGTAATGTAACATAACTGTCCTACCACGCTTTATAAAGGAACTCTACAAGGACGTAATGTAACATAACCTTATATATTTGTCATATTACAGGTAAATATGTTGCATGTACGTTTTGGCAGGAGAGCTGGCTAGTCTTTACCTCGCGCCTTTGGCAGGGCGAGAGGGAAAATGTGCTGTACTGCATTATATTACAGTTCTCTTGTAGTTTATAATGTTTCACTATATTAAATAGTAGTATATATATCCTATTGTCTTTCATTATGACATATTGTGCTGTATTCTATAATATCATGTCGTACTATATCCCACTGCCGGGAACAATATATTTCATGATTGTAGTGTATATGCCTTTGTTCGCCCTAGTATTCCACAGACCGTGCCAGCGCGAGATAGTCAGGATCCACCGAGTGACAAGGTGGAAGAGAGCAGCCCAGAGCTGGAGGAGTCGGAGCCGCACGAAGATCCAGTAGGGTTCAGGGGCAATACGGTTTAAGGTTTAGGGGTTCAGGGGCAATAAGGTTTAGGGTTTAGGGCTTGTAGGGTTTAGGATGTAGGGTTTATACGTTTTCGGGCCTCGGCTGAAGAACGGCAGAGGAGGCAGTGCTGGCAGTCATCAAGTCCGGTTTCAAAAGGGTTTATAGGGCTTTGTAGCAGTTGCAAACGTAGTACCAGGAGCGGCAGCTGCGGATTTACTGCGCCGGTCAGTCGCTACCTCTTTGCGTCAGACTTGTGACGGAGGCCGGGTGGTAGCCGGACGAGGCCTCGCATGAAAGAATCTTAAATGTTAAGTGTAGGGTTTATAGGGATTTATAGGGATTTATAGGGATTTATGGGGATTTATAGGGGTTTAGGGTTATTTATAGGGGTTTAGGGCTAAGGGCCCGAGAAGCTGAGGTATCCAGCCCTGGACTCGGCCGACATGGTCTTGCAGGCCATCTCTGGCCAGCCGGCAAGTTGCTGGTGACCCGGAAGCAAGTGGAATGTAATCCTTGGGAAGGATGACCTTTCCACGGACAAGTTGGGTTTAGGGTTTAGGGTGAATGATGTACACCGCAAGTCCTTGCTTAAACAGGGTTAATGATGTGCCCGAGTGGTATTGCAGTATGTTGCAGTGGCAGTTTTGTTCATTGGCTGGCGAGGCCGAGCTTTTGCTGAGACCTCTACCTCTGGGGCAGGCTTGCTGCGGTGTTGCGTTTGGTACAGTTAAGTCAGGGTCGCCAAGTGCTTCAATCCTGGGAACTTGCATGGGGCTTGAGCAAGTTTTTCCCGGAGTGAGCACGAATGCCGAGCTTCTTTTGCAGTTGGAGCCTTTGCAAGGAGTTGGCTCTGCTGCTGTCAAAATCCGCGCGCGTCCTGGACACTTTCGTCAGCTTTGGCAATCAGGGTGTGCATGTTCGTTTTCTGATGAGCGGCTGCATGCACACGTATGTGTGAGTGAGTGAGGGAGTTGCGTGCGCGCATGGGGTAGGCTGGAGATAGTGATATAATATGCCCTCAAGATCCCTCAAGCGGCAGCAAGACGGGTGGCAGAGCACCCTAAGCAAGCAAGACAGCAAGGTAGCATAATCTAATGTAGGAACCTGATTAAGACACCCCGGCCCTACAACCCCAAATACTAGGATTCATATACAGAACCCTACTAAAGACCCCAGGGTTTCCTAATCTGGTTCCTACACTACCAACCCTAAACCCCTAAACCCTAAACCCTACCCCTATGTTCCCTGCGGTGCGACTTAGTCAGCTGGGCGGGTGGGAAAAAACCATCCTAAACCTTAAACCCTAAACCCCTAAACCCTAAACCCTATCCCTATGAACCTCGCCTGGCATGTCCGAGTTGTGAGAGCCTAAACCCTATCCCTTATCTCGCAGCGGGTGGGAAAAATCCCTTATCTCGCAGTCCCGGCCTGGCCTAGCGAGGAGCTTGGATCAGGCCCTGCTCTGCCGAGTATTTGCTACTCGCCTTTGTTTGGGGGAGCGGAGAGGGGTAGGATTGAGGGTTTGGGATTTTGGGTTGAGGGTTTAGGGTTGAGGGTTGAGGGTTTTCGGAGGGTTTCGGGTGTTAGAATGGGTGAAGCTGAGACAGATGGTACATGGAGCTGCCCCTTGAATCGAGGTCTCAGCTGCATTGGCCATGAATGTGGCTCGGATTCCATTGGCACATCGCTGAGTCATGTGAGGCTTACTAACCATAGCGATGCCCCCATCGAGGTATCGCCACAGATCTGCCCCAGGCGAAGTGCCGAATTCATCCTTATCCTAGCAGCAGTGTCTGCAAACCCTAAACCCTCAACCCTGTTTTTGTTTGGAAGACCGCGATTCCTTCGAGTGGTTGCACTTCGGAGCCCAACATAGGAACCGAATGTCCCTGTGTGAGTCTAGGAACCGAGACCTTTGGGTTATTCTCTCGATTTGGTGTGTCTTGCTGCCGTTTCTTTGAAGGGACCCCGTGACGAACACCTGTATCTGCCTTGGAGATCCTTCTGATCACTGACTCTGCGATGGTTCTTCCCTGACATGCTCTGCTTGCATAGTCGTGGTCAGATGCTCGTGTGCCTGGATCACGCCGACTCAAACCTATGGAACCTCGCCTGGCTTGTCCGAGTTATGAGAGAACAAAACCCTGAACCCTTGGGGATGTCAGTGCCCTTGCATGCACTTATCAAAAACAGAGAGACTGTGAGACTTCATCTGGCTTGGCCGAACGTGAGCGCCTGGATCCTCCGGCATGTGACAGGCCATACCCATGCTGACAGCGAATGCCAGCGCCAATGCAGAAGCGATCCAGCGAAGTGGGGGCCGATTGGCCCCTTGCACACATTCTGGTGTCTAGTTCCTAATATTGCTAGTATTAACAATATTGCTGCTGTGATTTGGCATTGCTAGCCTGTTTGCCTTCACTGTGATTGCAAAACCATTGTGATGATTACTATTCTTCTTATTCTTGTCTTGCAGTATATAATACCGCAAGACCCCATTCCAATAAGTGTTCCAAAGTATGCTGGCAAGATGCCCTGTGCTGAGCCGGAGGCTTACCTGGTACAATCACTTTCCTTTCCCTTGTTCTGAGGCTGTTCTTCCTCTTATCCTCGGCGACGTCAGCACAGTGCCAGACGTGGCAGCTTTGCTGCACCATGACGATATCACAGGCAGAGCTTCATACTCCGGTCCAACAGCCAGCTAAGGTCAATCATTTCGATTTGGTCATTGCATCGGATATTTGCTACGATCCCGTGTGCTGGTTGCAAGAAGCTGCGGAAGCCACGCCTGCAGCGCCGGTTCCCACGTTGGCAGGTGTTATACACCCCGCTGCTGGCAATGCTGCGATCCCTGTCGTTTAGACACTTCCTCATCGCAACCTGGTGCCGGTCAGTTTACCTAGACACTAGACAGTCCACTGCGGGAAGAGCATCCAGGCTCTGCCTGTAACTGCCTTCCTTGCGGTAATGCAAAGTTTGAGTGGCTTGCCGGCATGGTTCGTCATGGTGTAGCTGTCTTCTGCCGCGAGGCTTAAGCTTGTAGTCGTTGTGCAGCAACGAGACCAGGTCACCAGCTCCAAAGGAGAACTTGGTGAGGTCTTCTGTCATCTGTTTCTCCGCTGTTGTGGCACCCCCGTGCACAGGTGCACAGCGTGATCCCGCCAGCCTGCCTTACTCTAAACAGCCACTGTGGCACCGAGCTACCTTCTACCCAGCCATACTCTTCCCTACGCCGGCACTGCACAAGGATGTCAGAATCCTTCCGAGTCGAGCCGAGTCGCTGCGGAGCAGCGCATTGGCCCTTGGTTTTACCGGCTCTGGGTCGTGAGTAGGAATGCCGCTGGATGTGCACATTACACTCCCGGCGGAAGTTCGGCTCTTGCCTGCGCAACTTGGCACCTGCAGGTGTTTTTTTTTTCAGGCTTCAGGCCTGTACCCATGATCTACTATGCTGAGCCAATGATGGTTTGCTCGCCAAGGGCGGCGATATCGCAGCTGCCTACACCATGGCCACGATGTCAGGACATCCGCAGCTCGGAGCGCACTCGAGCCGATCTGAGGTTATTGCGACTATTGCTGTTTGTTCTTGTCATTATACTATACACCATACCATGCCCTACTACACATAGCACACTATACCATGCTAAGCAACACGAGACTGCACCTGTACTCTGCACAAGAACTCGGAACTGCCGGGGGCCAGAGAGCTGCTCGGATCCCGAGGTTTCCTCCACGAGGAGCCAGCGGCTGGAGACTCCCTGGTGGTGGTCTCACAGTCTTGGTCGCATCAGATGCATCCGGACCCCACCGGCGTGAAGGCTGGGAACCATCAGGGCAATCACTGCCAGTACTATACACTATACTATACCCAACTCATGGTATACTACGTGGTACTAGACCATGCTCTACTCTACTATACTTTACTATAGATACCATGCTTTGTATTCCTTGGACGCTGCAGGCTGCTGCCATCATCGGGCTTCTGAAAAAAGTTGTGAACTCGTCGGCAGAGAAGGGCGCATTGTGTTCTCATTGTTTGCTTCTCTCGCTCTTTCTATACCCTGTTTTGTTTTAATGCGTTTGAAGCCAGAAAGCCCGGATTCGACGTGAAGCCTTGCCCGCGTTGGGCGAGTCATGAGAGGCGAAAGCCCCTGACACCCTAAAGCCACAAACACTTAGAGCCCTGAAAGCCCCAAACCCAAGAATACACATTAAGCACACCAGAAACTGAACGCCCTTAATTGAACTTAAGCGCCCGAGAAGCCCTAAAGCCTCCCACTCGTTCGCAATCCCTAAGCCCTTAATTTCGGTATGACTGCATAGCTCCGAGTTCTTGCTAAGCGCCGTGCCTTGGATCATCTGGAGCCTTGCCTGCCTAACCCCGAAACCCCTTGCACGAGTCCGCGAGTCCAAACCCCCCGGAACCCTAAACCGCGCCTCAGGGGGTAACCACTGGGGCTTGTTCGGGATTGGCGTCTCCCTCTTCATTGCTCTGCTAGATCATATACGGAAGAATCGACGGGACTGTAGGCTCCGAAGCAGTAACGCTTTTCCAGCTGTTGGTGGCCGTATTTTTTACAGGGCAAGCACTTCGCCTTGGTGCTTCCTCCGGCAGTCCAAACCTCTAACGAACTCCCTGCGGTGCGACAGCGTCCGCTGGGCGGGTGGGAAAAAAAGCCCTAGACTCCGTAAACCCTCCAGCCTATAAACAGGGGCAAAACTATAGGATTAACCCAATAAGCCCTAAACCCTAAACCCTAAACCCTATAAGCCCTAAACCCTGAAGCCTTTCCAAAGCCCGGCGAGCTCAGGCCGTCAAGCTGCGGGCCGAAAACCGACTGCTTGTTTTTTGCGCCTCTCAGTCGCCTCCAGAGGTTTGTTTTCGGGCTTAAGGTTTTGTGTTTTTTTGTTGTTTTTAAAGTTGTTGTTGGATGTCTTTCGTTTCTTTTGGTTTTTTTTTTTACGAGGATCTATTCTTCTGAGGATCCCCAAGTGAGGTATTTGTTGCGGTTCTGTCAGAATCCTCATTCTTTCTGGTTGAGGATCCCTAAATAAGGCATGGGGATGCGTTCCTATGGGAGCATGAGGATCCCAAACGGGATATTCATTCGGTCAGGATCTTTAGGTAAGGATCCCCAAGTGAGGTATTCCTAATGCGGAAGCTCCGAAATTGATTGAAGTGGCCCCTGGCAAGCTCAGGACTTTCTTTCCATGCCCCAGCCGCCAACGCAAGCCGACCAGGAGAGTGAAAGCTCTGCCAAGTCGCCTTGCGCAGACCCTAAGCCCTATAACATCGGGGGCACCCAGTTGCAGGAACCAAGAGAGGTAGATGAGGTCGGGTCTCCGACCTTTGTGGGAGCCTTTAGCCTACTTTCGAGCCAATCATCCTTCCAGCCACGGTCCGACACGTATAGTCTACCACATTACACCATACGTTCTGCTATACTTATACAGAGCTGTACTGTACTATACTATACTAGACTAGACGTAAGGGCAGGCTTTGTTGACCCAGGCCCGAGGCTCTTTCAGCTTTCGGAGTTGGCTATCGCAAGGATGATCCGAACAGAGTAATATCTCTAGGGCCTAGAGGGTTTAGGGTGTCTATACTCTATACCTAGTGTCAGCCGAAACATGTAGACTTCGCCGAACGGGATGGAGCTCTATGCATCACAGGAGCCGTGGACAGAGAAGGACAGTGCTGCAGTGCTCGAGGCAGCCACAACTACTTCTTAGCTCATTGGACGAGTGGTGGACTATCAAACGGTCGTTTTTGCCGTACCTGTTTGCTTCCAATGTGGCACTCCTTTGGCCAGGTCATGCAGGCCCTTCCACAGTTGATGTTCAAGGCCGATGCTGTTATCCACGTCAACAGCTCTGTCACGAAGCTGGTCATGGGGGAGGGAGCATCCTGGCGGCACGCCCGCGGTCGCAGGTCCAGATCCCCATTTTGCAATCCTGCTTGGCTGGCTGGGCCTGCTTTGGCAGCGCATCACAAGAACACATAGACTGAAGAGCGAGACAGCTTACTTTAGAGCTCAGGAAAAGTTCAGCACGACGCTGAAGGACCTCACGGCACACAATGTGATTCGAGCTGATGAGGGCGGGGGAATATCGCTGACTGTTGCTTTGTGCCAGGAGCTTCAGAAGAACTGTCGGCTCCGGCAAGTTGGTAACGTGGTGCAGGTCCTCTGGGCGTGCGATAGTATGCTCCCCTGCTGCTCCCACAGCGGTACTTGGTCGCGGCTTTGCAGGTCTATGAAGAGTTTGGCCTGATGAACAGCAGCTTCAATGGCAACAACTCTCCATACAGTCGGAGGCTCAGACTTGCAGATTCCACCCCATCAGTTCCTTTAAGCAACGTTCCGGCTTTGCCTCAAATCTTGTGAAAGTGTGGGAAATAGAGAGTGAGGCATCTCGGCTCCTGGAGTCGCAGAGCTTTTTCCAGAGCGTGCCAGACAACCTCGGTGCTTCGATCAGCCACTTGCAGTTAGAACAAGAGGCGTTCTGAGTCCTTCATCGCACATGCACAGATGCGTATTCGTCCTTCGTCTTTCGTCGTTTCATGGGTGCGCGCTGAAGCCGACTATAGCCGACTACTGCCACCCTGCAAAAACGTACGCGGCCCTTGGTAGGAGGTCCTCCCGTTTTCGAGTGTCTGCCAAGATCTGCCTGCATGCGATTGAACTGAGGGTGTATACCATTTCGAACCGTCGGGTGAAGAGCATTGATGATTTGCCGGATGAGCACTTCGGCCCTGACTGGATGTTTAGCCTTTTTGTAGTTAGTTATTTAGAATGTACAGAATATAGAATAGAATATGCAATATAGTATGTACATATATATATATACACAGATATATATATATATATGTATATATATATATAGAGTCTGCGTTTTGGCACAGAGGTTAGGTTCCCTTTTGTCACCGACCCGTGAACTGGCTCAGGCGCAGCAGCTCTCATTGCTCAGCCTGCTGGAGCCGCGTTTTTCCAGTGCACATGGTCGCTTGGAGATTCAAGTTTAAAGTTTAGGGCTTAGGGTTCCTACATAAAGGGTTTAGGGCTTAGGACCTAAACCGTGAAGTGTGACCATACCCATATCACCGCTCTCGTTTGAGCTGGGCAGTAGAGGGAGGTCAGATCTCAGCAGGACAGGATGCGCCAAGGTGTCGGGATCTGCGGAGGCGGCATGCTCCATGGTTCACATGATGCTGCAGCAAGATGATAATGCTGCCCTGTTTACAGAACAGTGCTAGTGAAATAGTCGTCGACTACTGGTGCAGTACTATTTAAGCTACTGTTATTTAGTACAAGTATGAATTATAATGCTCCTGCTGCCGAGGAACAGAAGGACCAGGTGGTCGAGATGCTGAAGCAACCGTTTGGATATCGAATAGAGGCCGGGGCCCGAGCCTGTCCTCGCCCCAAAAGCCACAAGCCCCGTCGGTGTAAGAGTCAAAAGCCACAACTAGAGAGCTACGTAGAGTATCATGAATCATGTTTACATATGTTTACCCCAATTTTTAACCATTATTACTGTTACTTCTGGTGATACTTGCAATTGCCTTGCTTATGATACCTATGACTACCCACAACTGGCCGATGCACGCACGTTCCCAGGTGGAGCCGACCCACCAGGGGCGGACCTATTTCGATCGGCCAGCATCTTTGGATTGGCTCCAGGGTTGTGATGGGTTGGTACAGGGCTCAAGGATTCGAGGGTAGTTGTGGCCCAGGTTCATCAGCATTGTGAAGGTAGCCTTGATGGAGGAGAATGCAGCTCACGAGGCCATAGCATCGCAATTCCAACGATTCAGTTTGCGACGGCCTGGCTTTATATGTTGCTTCCAGCTGTTGTCTCTTCCTGCGAGCCGTGGGCTGTTTCTGGCAGCCCGTTCGAGACTGACCTGCCGCTGCTACCAGGTGATTTTTGCAAACAATGCAGATGTGAAGAATGACATCCTGTGGCTGCGCAGCAAAGAGGAATGCCTCACCAAGCGAACTGACACTCTCGATCCCTATAGGGGCTGAGAGAGTCTGCAACAGGCATGCAGGCCATGCAGGTCTTTATGAGATGTCCTTCTCGTCTAGGACTAGGAGCTTGGCCATAACAGGGCTATGTCATGGTATATAGATATCTCTAGTATACAACTTGATAGGGGTCATTCATTACAACTAGTACAGGTAGCTTAGAACTAAGTTGACTGCCAAGAGCGCAGTTGAACAAAGCTCAGGAAAGGCGGTGCCCGCCTTCGAAAAGCCACGCAGATGGGCCCGGACGTCTTGGCAGCCGAGCTGCGTCTCGGACCATAAACAAGCACACACACACAGATATATATATATATGTAGATACATCTATCTATCTATTGATCTATCTATCTATAACTACACACACATATATATATATATGTATACTAAGAAAATTTACAAGATACGAACATGAAACTTAAACTTAATGCAACGTGTATGTGTGTATCTGTATGTATATGTTTATACATACACACACATACATATATATATATACAGATGTATGTATGTATGTATGTATGTATGTACGTATCAGAGACCTGGATGCAGAAAACACGGGGTTCCACCTTAAACTCTAAACTTTCTACCTTGAGGAAGTTCTTCACTGAGCAGCTCGAGACGACGCTTAGCTTGAAATTGCCAGCGGTTTGTGAAGAGGGTGGACGGGGGGGGAGGAGGGCCACCGGGAGGTGTTTTCGAACTGCCACATGATTCTGTCTCTGACCGGCAAGTGCACTAGGGCCGAATCATCGAGCAATAATCACCATGGATATGGTGATGATGTTCATCATGATATGCATGGTAACAGTAACCACAACAGTAACAGCAACAATAACCTTCCCAATAACTCTACTAATTAAGATATCTCTCTTCTTATCAATAAGAACGGTCACTTAAAGATTGTAAAAGTAACGAAATTGATAGCAGCTGCGACACTGTTGATTATCTAAATCCTACAGTACCTTCAGGACCCTAACCTATGGGAAGTATGGTATATTCCAAATTTATGGGATAATGCAGGATTTATATCATCAACCCTAGGAGTCTTTGTGGCCACCCGGGCGGCTCTGCCCAGGAAGACCTTCGTCCCCGTGGGCTGGGAGCTTTGTCCGGAGCCGGGACGAAACTGGGATCTTGTTAAGGTGTCTGGTCTTTTCTAGCGGAATTACGACACCTTAACTTTTTAGGTTTCTAGGAGCCCTTATATAGAGCTGTTAGTGTACAGTTTTTTGTGCTTATGAGCTCAGCAACTAAGTGGGTTTCAGTTGCTAGAATGAGGATCTATATAGAGGGGTTGAAAGGGGATTAGGGTTGAGTTGTTTTTGTTACCATAATAGGAGTCCATACTAAATAATACAGTTTCGAGCTAATGGTAACTTGAAGCCCGAAACCCTAAACCATAATTTATAAACCCTAACCCCTAAACCCTTTCACAAGACCTCAGGAAATGGCAACATGACGACGTTCGAGGCACAGCAGCAGGCGAGGGGTGCGCTTGAAAGCGTCTTTCTGACTCCGCTGATTCCTTCGCTTCGGTCGCAACGGTTTAGGGGTTTAAGGTTTTGGGTTTAGGGGCCGTTGCAAGAGGGTTTAGGAGTCGGGTTTAGGGTCATTTAACGATCCTGTTTTTCAGGACCTGGTGTCGTCCTTGATGCAAGTCTTCTTGGAGGAGCCCCGCTGCACCTGTTGCTAATGACAGGGCCAGGGCCACCCACCCTGACTTAATCAAGGCTACGAGCCGCCCTCCTGCTGTATGCAGTTCAAGCACATGCATGTATGAGGAGTTGAACATCGGAGTGTCCTTGTCGCTGTGGCGTGCACTTCGTGAAGAGCGGTTGGCCGACTGCCGGCGACTTCTGCAAGAGAAGGCACTGGGTTTGTATCGGCCTGTGCAATGCTTGTTCCTTGGCCACTTGCACGCTCGGACATGCGTGTCTGAACTTTCTATGGCCAGAGCTGTCTGCCGCATTTGCAGGCAGATCCCAATATCGTGGATGGAAAGGGCAAAACATGCCTCCATCATGCTTCGCAGGCCCAGAGTTGCATGAGTTGCGTAGATGCCGGATGCTTGCCTCTCAGTCGAAACCTCTGCTTCGCAGGCCCGTTCCACTGCCGCAGTGCAGCTGCTTTTAGAATTTGGTGCTTCCACGAGGCGGACTGAATGTCGCTATCGTGCATGTGAGGCAGTTCACAGTGTGGAGCTGGGTCTTGAAATCCTGCAACCCTACATCCCCACGAGTTGCGAGAGTCTAAATCCCCACACCGCGAACTTTGCAACCCTACACCGTCAAACATCTGCATGCGGTGACCGCGAACATAGCAGCGCAGAGCCTTGTCGTTGCATGTTGCATCGGAGTGGCCAGCAGAACCTAGCCCTTGGGTCCACCAGCAGCACCAACAGCAGCACCAACAGCACCACCAGCACCACCAGCACCACCAGCACCACCAGCACCACCAGCACCACCAGCACCGCCAGCACCGCCAGCACCGCCAGAACCGCCAGCACCACCAGCAGCACCAGCAGCACCAGC